AAAGCCTGTTGGACATGGTACTGTTCCCGTCATAAAAAACTGGTACAATTCTTATAACCGAAAATCGTGTTTTTCAAGTTGTGTAAGTTGAGTTTGTCACATGTGTCATTCTAATTTCGAAGTCAACGTTGTCAGTTCAATAATAGTATTATCAAAACCAGCTAAAAGCAGGGCTGTGCGACAGGTCACAAGTTTAATATAAGTACTTAAAACTAAATCAATATCGAGCATTCTCGATCAGTCAGTCACATTTATATTTATACATTTATTTAAACATACATCTTAAAAATTCTATTAATTTTAAAATTTTACATTATTATAGTACCCATACATTGATTCGTGTTTTATTCTAATTTATGAAAATATTTCAATTCAAAAATAATAATAGATAATAAATCTGGACATGACTTTAAATTTATGTTTAATTTGAAATCGGGAGGTATGATTGGTTTTTCGTAAAGTGTAGCACAAAACTGTATCGAGTTGTGAAATACTACAGTAAATAAAACCCACTGGCAAAAAAAAATTTAATTTGAAATTAATAAATAATTAATAAATTTTTACAGTGAACAAGTGTGGGATTTAAATACATGTATTACAATTCGAAAAGTTAATATTTTGTCATCGCTCCATCATTATTAATCACTTCTTGTAATATTCTAAGAACTGAGTTAATTAAATTTAGTGACAAATTTTCATCTTCGGCCAAGCTTTCCCAGGTTTCTTCAATGATGGTCCATAAATGATCTCTATTTTGGGGAACTACATTTAATTTTTGTATTTTGTTGATCCTAAGTCCCCAAACGTTCCCTATTGGATTAATATCTGGACTTTTAGAGGGCCATGGAAGAGCTTCTATGCTATTTTCCATAAGGTAATCCCGTACACGGTGGGCTGTGTGGATTGAACAATTATCATGCTGGAAAATAAAATTATTGTTGGGGAAAATTTCCCTAACCGATGGCAACATCACATTATCTAATATATGTAAATAGGTTTCAGTATTGAATCGTCCTTTAATTTTCCAAAACATTGCTAAATCTCCTCTATATATCAAAGCCCAAACATTTATAGAGATCCGGACTTATCACTTGATAAAATATAGTTTTCGTTAAACCTATTTCGAGGCGGTCTATAAACTCTAATATGACCATCGTAATGAGACTGGAATACTTTTTCATCAATAAAAATTACACGGTCCCAAAAATGGACTGGGTCATTTAAAACGTAATTTAAAGCAAATAGGAGTCTACTTTGTTTATGTTCCTCGCTAAATTTGTATTTTCTGGCGGATGCACAATTTTTTAAATCTGTTGTTCTAATTCTCCTTAATGCTGTAGTTATTGAAGCATTAAAGGTTGTATTAACTTTTGCTTGCCTTGCCGTATGAAAGGGATATGCTCTTAAATAATTAGTTTATGTTTCATCTTGTTGGGCTGTAGTAATAACTGGTCTCCCACTTCCCCTCCTCCTATCCAAAGTCTGCTCATTTTCCCATCTTTTTTAATATTGTGGATTGTGGTTTTGCTTCTATTTAACTCTTGAGCCTGTTGTCGAATAGAATAACCATCTTCTATTTTTGAAATTATTCTCGTTTTATCAAACTGACTTTACTGACGTGGCATTTTCAAAAATTCACTTTGACAAACTTGTCAAATCTGACTGATGGCAAGCAATATTTTTTATGTTGAATTTTTATGTTGAATTATTCGGATATGTTCGGGAAGTTTTCACGAACTGATAACATCTGTGGATACTAAACCAACATTTTTCAGTTATAAGCGGATTTTTTATAGTTATAAGAGGATAATGTAATACTGTCACGTTTTGAAAAGCGTTTTTCGCCCCGTATATTTTATAGTTTATAATCTACGTAGGATAAAGTATAATGTTAGTTTTTCACATTTATCGTTCATGTAATAAATATTATTTATTTATAATTACTATAAATACTACCAAAACTAAGTAGTTTGACTGTTACTAAACATACAGTTATTGACATAACATACAGTTAACAGTTTGTGTTCTGTAAGTAATTGAAGTATAAAATTACAGAAGATGCATTCCAATGTTCCCTGTGCCAATGCCTTAAGTTTAACTATCTTTCAACATTTTGGACATTAACTCAATCCTCTTTCTGGTCATTACATTTATTAGATACGGTTTTTTTGTTGTTAATAATTAAAATAATACCTATATAATACCTATATAACGTTCAGAAATTTATACATTTCTGAACGTTATTTTTTACGTTTTACGTTTTATTTAAATTTACTGACATTCCGTTATCTGTGATGGCAACATCGGATTAATTCACGAACCATTGTGTGCAGTCTGAACACAGGTTTACATTGGGAAAAAAGTGTACCAGAAAAAAAAGTATACAACAAGGGAAGTTATAGTTTATTCGTCTTCCGGGTTTGGACCGTGTCATTTGTGAGTGACCCAAAAGTGGGTTCATCTCGACGTTTCGCTACAATTGTATGTATCTTCTTCAGGAGAACAAAGAAAAAGAAAAAGAAAAAGAAGACAGGAAGATGGGTAGTTAGCAACGGTAACTCAGTTACTCAACGCAACCAGAGGCGAATACTAACTGCCAAGATGGGCATTTGGTCACAGTAACTCAACTACTCAACGCAGCCAGAGGTGAAAACCAAATGCCAGGACAGGGATTCACGTCCAACAGCTCAGAACACTAACGCGTCGAGAGGCGGGGAATGAATCCTTCGGGGAGTTCCCTTGAGTTACTGTGACCAAATGCCCATCTTGGTAGTTAGTATTCGCCTCTGGTTGCGTTGAGTAACTGAGTTACCGTTGCTAACTACCCATCTTCCTGTCTTCTTTTTCTTTTTCTTTTTCTTTTTCTTTTTCTTTTTCTTTTTCTTTTTCTTTGTTCTCCTGAAGAAGCTACATACAATTGTAGCGAAACGTCGAGATGAACCCACTTTTAGGTCACTCACAAATGACACGGTCCAAACCCGGAAGACGAATAAACTATAATTCTGACTCTGGCCGTGGAAGCCTACGATTTCATTTGAACAAGGGAAGTGTACAAAAATGTTCTACATTACTTAGAAACAAGATACAATTTCAAGGATAGCAAATTGGACTTATTTAAGCCATTTTCTCTCCAGGATGACTTCTTTCTTATGCGCCAATGATCAACATAATTGAAAATTTAAAAATTGATACGTTCTTCGACGTGGATCAACTTTATGAAGAAGTGTGTAAAATTAGTGAAAGCAGCAGTGCAAAACCAAGACGACACCGCTACAAAAATGGCACATTTGTAGTGAAAACCAAGACTTTGTCAATCTTTAAAAGATATTTTCGTTTATGGCTTCAATACCAGTATCAAATGCAGCTGCGCAGTATTTTCACAGGCTAATTTAATTTGGTGTGAGCGGCCAAAACGTTTGACGCTAGAACATGTTAAAACATAAATTCAAATTAAAACTAATTTTAGCTTGACAAAAAAACAAGGCACTGCTAAAGGCTTAAAAATCGAATGAAAAAGATAATTTTAACAAAAAATAAATAATTTACTTTATCTACGATTTTTTTTTAAATTTCTTGTGATTATTATTATGTAGCATTAAATACGGATTAAAACACCTTGTTGTTTATTTGTCCAGATCTACAACCCTAAATCCCGATTTGTTTTACCTTATGTACCGATTTAAACCAAATTGGACTTGGCAACACTAGTTGGGACCGTATTTTTCTCTTACTCCTTAGGAGGATTTGATTGTCGTGGTTTTAGTTACTGGAGTTTTAGTCGATGCTTGCTGTATTGGTTGTAAGTTAACCCTTTCACACCTGATTTGTATATTTTAAAATTTGATATATTTGCATGGGATTATATATCCCAACAGTAATAATAAACAATAAATGTTTATACATAATATGGGGTAAAACACTCGTTACATAACGGAACATCACACATTTTATAAATAAATTTGGTACGTTTATCTTTCTTATGTTGTGTATCTTTTTTATATAATACACATCAAGCGACTGGATTTTCCTAATATAGGTCACTGGTCGCCAACATTACTCATCACTGTGGCTTGTACTTGCAGTACTGATAAGAATCTCAGCTAAGTTAACCAGATAATTTAGAAAGGGTATTTTCTTATTTCTGGTATGTAACGCAGTATATAGAATATATGAATTATATACTGCCATTATTAGAACTTTATAGAAAACCTTCTTCCACTATTTTTGGGTATTTTTATTGAGATCGTCCACAGATGTCATTTCATCACATTTATCTACACCTCCCATGTAACGATTATAGAATTCATACATAGATACAGGATAACAAATATTGGCTATTATACCATCTTTCAGTTTTCTACACACAGTTGTTTCTTCTGGCTTATGGCAGTTAGTTGGTACAATAAAATCTTTTGTGTCCTGTCATTGTATAGTCAATGGTCCAGTTTCATTACCTTTTACTTGCAATTCTCTTCGATTTAGCTTGCCGTGTACAGACAGCAGGAAATATAATAGTATCCATAAGATGAACTGTTGCAAAAAATCTGTCGAAGCAAATTACATTTTCATTAGAAATTAGAAATTAAAAATTAGAAACAGCGGACGGTTCATTTATACCGTCAATGGTGACGTAGTTTGGGTGGAAGGTGACGTGCGGGGTGGCATCCGCGTTGGCAGGAACATTTTTATTAGCAGGATTTTAATTAAAGAGAACGATTTTTTCTTTGTGAGGGGTCTCCATGTGGAAGGTAACCGGATGTCATCATCTCTTCTATTGAGGCAATTTGGCCTTTCTTCAATTTCTATGGCTATGAATGACGAAAGCTCGGCACAGTGATAATTGGCGTAGTTCAACCTAGAAGCTAGTTGAGTTTAATAATGATTCTTGTAATAGTATTAATCTTGTAAAAGATATCTGCCCTTCTTAGTATATCTCTTCTAATGTGGCACAAGATATAGTTATTCATCATTAAAGTATTTAAACTAACTTTTTGTTTCAGTATAAACACTTCAATGCTTAAAATATGGTACCTCAAAAGATATGTCGTAGCAATACTATCCTTTTTTGGTTTTATGAATATCTATGCCTTACGTTCAAACTTGAGTATTGCTATAGTGGATATGACACAACTGAAGAATGTTTCCTTGCAAAACGGGACTAACGTATTAGTAAGTATTGCATAAACACTACTTTCGTCAAGAAATTAAATACAATACTCATGTGTATGTTTTTAAGAATGTAAAATAGACTATGTATAATATTAAAATATTATTTCCAGAATTAAAAAAAAAAAAATTTAAATGTGAAAGAATATTTGGTTTTTTTCCAAATTACTTAACCTACTATAATCTAATTACATGTATAAACTCACTAAATACAAGTTAATAGGAACGTCTCTAAACTGTAAAAAGCCAACTTAAACTTTCTATTTCCGTTATTTTTAAATTTAGTATAGTTACGAGGTTGTCTTCGTAGTAGGGGAAGGGCGGGTAAAATGGCATAGGCGGGCAAAATGGTTTTTTGTTCTCGTAGAAAACCTAACGGTTCTACGTCACCGCAATTCTGGATACTTATTATAAACAGTGGCAACACTGTCCACATTAAGTCTCGTGCACCTAATTTAACGGCCGGCCACGAGATTGGTGTATTTGTGAATAAGTGCTGGTCGAGTTCGATGCCTCAATGTAAGTTTTATTCAATAATTTATTAAATTAAGGATATAGAGCTTTTTGAATTCACTTTTTGGTAATTATGTTTTATACGCTGCATGTGACCTTAAATAAAAATTGTGTTTCTTTCCATTATTAATTTTTTTCAACTATCATTAGTCGGCAAATACAAAACGGGCAAAATGGCATAGCATTATGGCGGGCAAAATAACATACTATGCCATTTTGCCCGTCTGTTTTTGAGGTTAAGGTACATATATAGTTTTTTTTGCAGATGGTTTATTCATACAAAAGGAAGTCTAACCAAAATAGTTGGAGTGAGGAAGACATGCAAAGAGCTTTAGAGACAGTCCGAAATTCCGAAATGGGTTGACTTAAAGCAAGCAATACATTTCATGTACCGTTCTCAACACTATGACGTCGAGCAGATAATAAAAATAAAATTGCCATTGAAGCAAAAAAACATTTGGGCTCCCTGGCAACAGTTTTAAACGAAGATATGCAGACTGCAATAGTTGCCCACGTTCTGTATCTTGAATCCCGTTCAAAATACCATGATATTCAACATGGACGAATCAGCCTTGACCACCGTCCAAGTTCCGCCAAAAGTGTTTGCTCATAAAGGAAAAAAACAAGTGGGCTTATTCACGAGCGCAGAAAGGGGTGTACACACAACAGTTGTAGTGTGCATAAGTTCTGGAGGAACTTATGTACCACCATCAATAATTTTCCCCCGAAAAAGATTTAACCCACTTTTATATGACGGCGCACCTATAGGAATATTAAAATTGCATAATGAATCAGGATACATGACCGGAGATTTGTTCATAAGGTGGATGCAACATTTTATTGACCATGTCAGGCCGAATCCTGCGCAGAAAGCATTATTAATTTTAGACGGACACTCCAGTTATAAAAGCTACGAAGCTTTAGAATTAGCTAAACAGAATTCAGTGGTATTACTTTGCCTGCCGGCACACTGCACGCACCGCCTTGAGCCATTGGATATTGCCTTTTTTGGACCACTCCATAAATATTAAAATCAAGCTGTTACTCATTGGCTCAGAGAAAATCCTGGTCGTGCAATAACCATATATCAAGTTTCCAGTCTCTTCCAGAAAGCATATGAAAAAACAGCAAATATTGAAATCGCAATAAATTGTTTTCGGGCCACAGGAATATCATCTATAAATCGTGACATTTTCCCGGAGCATGCATTTTTGCCTAGTGCAACTACAGATGTGCCTGAGGATGTGACTGGTTCTACTAATAAACCTGACATTGCTTCTACATCTTTACCTGTTGATGTTAATGTTCTTCTAAGAAAATCTACCAAACGTAAATCTGGTTAATACCAAGATGTATTAACCGAGAGCCCCTTCCTGAAATATCTCTGCGAAAAAGAAAATGAAAAAAAAGCACAAGAAATAAAAAGCAGAAAAGGGGACGTCGTGAAAAGAAAAATAGTCAATGATTGATGGAATGATGAAGTGATGGAAGACGCATTGTGAACAAAGATAGACATCAGTTGGAGAGAAAAGGCAAGAGAAATATTGTGACCAGATCAATACTGAACAATATATCAAGTGATGAAGAAGAACCCTTTAGTATTGATGATGATGAACAAGAGGACTGCACTTGCATTTACTGCAATGATACGTTTAGTAGGTCCAAATCTAATGAAGGGTGGTTAAGATGCCAAATTTGCCAAAACTGGTCACATTCAGAATGTGCTGGACTTCATAAAAAAGCAAAACAATTTATTTGCGAAATTTGTATGAACTAAAATGTTTAATTTCAATTTTTTTCTTCGTAAAAATAATAATAATAATAGTCTCCCGTTTTATACCGCACGCGGCTTTGGGAGTATAGCAGGGTAGTCTGCTATATCTAGGGCCTACGGTATACAAGGAAGGTAACATGGCCAGTGCTACGCTTCAACCGCCTATTATTACCCCTGGTTTTACCCAAGGTACTCATTTTATTCAGGCTGAGTCGACCTGGGGCCTATAGACATTTTTAAAAATGCCTAGTTGTTCTTGCCGGCGGTAGGATTCGAACTCACGACCACCGGCATGCGAGGCAAGCACACTACCGCTTGCGCTACGCGGGCCCTAAAATTTATAATTATTTTTGTATTTAACACTATTGTTTATGTGTATGCCATTTTGCCCGCACTGGGCGGGCAAAATGGTTTTTTGTTACATTTTGATTTTGATTTTTTTTTAAATAAATCTCTTTGTATGAGTGATTTTGTGTTACTTAGAATAGTAGAAAAATGACCTGGCTATCATTATATATCAAAAGAAATGATTTATCTCTATTTATGTCTCAGATATATGGACAATAAACTAAGTATGCCATCTTGCCCGCCCTTCCCCTACATTGTTTTCTATAAGCTTAACCCTTTCTATCCCGGGCCTTAATTTGCATGTTGGTCCCTGAATCGAAAAGGATTTTTAAATGACCAAAAAATGTTTTCAATGAGTTTTTTTTAACAAACTTAAACGTTTTCTTTTCAAAAGTATTTAACAGAGAGCAAAACAAACTTTAAAAAATGTAACTAACTTAAAACAAATAATGTAATTTAAATTAACATTAAAACTTTTCTGTTGATGGTACTCCTCAAAACATGGTACTACGCAAAGACCGACTCCGCATCTTGTACATATGTTTCTTGATATACTTCTGTTTTTTTCGTGTTTATATCTTAAACAGGATGAAGAAATAAGTGCACAATAAAAAAACAATAAATACAAATTAACCTATCAAAAAATGCCCATAAAATTGTAAGTTGATAATCTGCAAGAGGTACATAAAAAAGTGAAAGAACTTGCAGGTACACAAAAACGTAAGCAGCCAAATGCCCTGTATAATGTCAACAGAACAAGAAGCATAATAACAGAACTAGAAGAACAGTTAAAGACATGGAAAAACTATATTGAAGAACTCTTTGCAGATGATAGACAACAATCTGAGCTAAGTAACATACAAGGAGACGAAGGTCCAAAAATAACGGAAGAGGAAGTAATGTACGCACTAAAAAGAATGAAAAATGGTAAATCCTTCGGTCCAGATGAAATACCAACGGAAATCCTTAACCTAATAGAAAAAGACTCGATTCACATTTTAGTTGAACTTTTCAATAGCATTTATACATCAGGAAAAATACCACAAGAATGGCTTTTATCCACCTTTGTTATTATACTAAAAAAGATAAATGCCAAACTATGTAGTGATTACCGAACAATCAGTCTGATGAGCCATATACTGAAAATATTCCTGAAAATTATATATAGAGTACACAGAAAACTGGAAATGGACATCAATAATACCCAGTTTGGATTCCGAAATGGACTCGGAACAAGAGAGGCGTTGTTTGCACTGAACGTTATGTCTCAAAGATGTCTTGACATAAATTAAGATGTACTCATGTGTTTCATAAATTACAACAAGGCCTTTAATAAAGTGCGGCATGATCACCTAATCAGACTCCTGACAGAAAAGAATTTAGATAAACGAGACATCCTACTAATAGCAAATGTGTACTACAATCAGAAAGCAGTAGTGAGAGTAGAGAATAATACCACTGAAGAAATTGAAATAAAGCGAGATGTGAGACAAGGGTGTATACTGTCACCAACACTGTTTAATCTCTATTCCGAAGACGTAATGAATAGAACACTCTCTGAGCAATCCGTAGGTATTAAAATAAATGGTGTTAGATTAAACAATCTGAGCTTTGCCGACGACACCGTTCTGATCGCAGAAACACTTGAAGAGCTACAGACATTGGTGAATAAGATAGCAGACTGCAGCGAAGAATATGGACTATCTTTGAACATAAAGAAAACTAAATTTATGGTAATATCGAAATCAACACAAAATGTCCAAAATTTATATTTACACAATGAAATTATCGATCGAGTTAGCAAAGACAAATATTTAGGCACTTTTATAAATGAAGACAAGGATAGCTCAGTAGGAAGAAGACGGAACTCCTGGCTAAAGAATCTATGGGAATAGTATAGCTGTAGCAACACGAATTGTTTCGGTCAGCAGTTTCAAAAATACGTATAGCCCTGATGATCGCCAACCCTCGGAACGAAGATGGCACTTCAAGAAGAAGAAGAAGAGGTACCCTTTTTGAAGATTGGGTCAAACAGAGTGCATGTGCGTTAAGCAGAGACAGATCAAGCATGTGGAAAAATAGTTTTTTATACCATTTTGTAGGGAAACTGGCTACAAGCGGCCCAGTGTAGAGAACACTGGAAAAAACTGAGGGAGGCCTATGTCCAGCAGTGGACGCGAATGGCTGATTGATGATGATACCATTTTGTGGTCTTTCTTACACATTCCGTGGAGCTCAACATCATATCTGATCGATCTATTGCACCCATATTTTCGTTGTAATCTACAACAACAGCTGGATTTTGTATGGGCTCTTTCGTCTTGAAATCTACTTTGTCTAACATAAAGTATCTATCAATTTTCCAGTATAGACAATAATACCTAATACATATCCTGTCTTGCAGTCACATATTCGAAACAGTTTTATTTGCCAAAGCGATGGCTTTTGGTCTTTATGTACTGTTTAAATTTCAAACGCCCCTTGAAAAGAACTAAGCTCTCGTCAATAGCAAGATTTTGAAATGGAGTGAAGTACTTTTAGAACCGTGTTGTAATTGTATTGAACACTGTTCGCTGTTTGTGAAAATAATCACCTTCTTTTTGCTCAGCATTATCTGAAAAGTGTAGCATGCCAAGGATTGCTTGGAAACGATTCCTTGATATTATTTCGGAAAATATTGGTGTATGAAGAAACTTATTACTTTACCAGTTTTCTCTTACTTTATTTTTTCATGGCGTGAGTTTAGGAACATAACACCAAAAAACACGTAAAATTCGTTGATATCAGTTTCGCTCCATTTATTTTTTTATTTGTGTGTCCATAAATAAAAGAAAATAACTTAAAACATCTGACTTATCTTCTATGGAGTCCAAGTGTGCGCCGGTCTCTCTATCATAAACGATCTTTTGTTCCATTTCAGAACCAAACATATCTAAAATATGTGAACAAATATATACGGCAATGGGTCCGCATGATCTGTCTTAGGTGCCAACATTTTACGACTTTAGAAACAATAATCTAACATATTCGTACATATTTCTACAGCATTAGGACACCAATGGGTCTAAAATTTCATAAGCAACGCATATTTTTGGCTTTGTTAAATTGAGACCATAATACCTCGAACGTCTATGTACGGCGGCTGAGACTACAGACCCACTTTTTAAAAACACAACACACACACACACACACACATATATATATATATATATATATATATATATATATATATATATATATATATTATATATATATATATAATACATTATGTAGTAGCGTTGGAATAGAAGTGGTTAAAAAGCAACCACCCCACAAAAAAAACACATTTTGACAGCTAGCCTTATAGAAACATTGCGAATAAACCTGCAATAAACGTTCCAAAAAGGTGGCCAGCTACATTGTTTATGAACAAAATTGTCATTGCAGCTAAGCAAAAGGCTCTTAGAGCCAAACTTTAAAAGAAGAATAAGTGACCCAACAATCCAGTCTTGTGTAACAAACAAAACAAAAAAAAAAGTATCAACCAGATATTGAAAGAACTGTACGATCATTACAACGTAGAAGAACCCGTGGAAGAACCGAATTCAACACGATCAAAAAGAAAAAGAAGGTGCCATATTTGTCCAAGAAAGAAACAAAGTAATTTGCAAGTATCAAAGTAAATATTCTTAATGTAATAATATTGTGTATCCATTACAGAGCAAGAAAGTTAATATATGTAATAAATGAGAAAGTAGATTAAAAAGTTTTAAATAAATATATTAATAATAAATAAATATATTTCTAGTAATAATTATTGGTAAAAATATCTTTAAAATTATATCTTAAAATATTACCGCTTTTACTACTACCTATTAACTTTGTATTAGGAAGTTTATATTGATTTAATTTAAATATCTTTACACACTGGTAATAAAATATTAATTGATGTTTCTAGGAAAGAGAATTTGAATGGAATTCGACGTTGCAAGGTTACGTCCTCAGTTCATTTTTTTATGGGTACATCTTTACACAAATCATTGGAGGATTTTTGGCCGCTAAAATTGGAGGCGCTAGAGTTTTCGGGCTGGGAATTGCCTCTACTTCCTTATTAACTTTGGTTACTCCGTGGATTGCAAAAACTAGTGTATACTTTCTAATTGCAATCAGGATTTTAGAAGGGGCTCTTGAGGTAAATACATGATTTTGTTTTTCAAATGTTGCTAAGAATTATATTATTACTCATAGAGACCTATTTAACACCTCAGAGTTTAAGATTTTGAGGATATTAGGGTTCAGAATGTTTTTTTGCAACAATACTACTACATTTTTATAATAAATTGGGAGTTAATTGATCAATTAAGGTTGACGAATATGTTGGGGAATTTGCACTAGGTGACAGAAACGAAAGAGGGGACAGACTTGTGGATTTTTGTCAAAATGAACATTTTGCAATAATGAAGACAATGTTCCAACTACCCGACTGAAGAATATACACGTTCAGATCTCCTGCAGACAACAAAGACCACGTGGTCAGAAATCAAATAGGCTATATTAGTCAAAAATAGCTACAAAAACTCAAATGAAGAAGTAAATGCATACCCCGGGGCAGATGTCAACCCAGACCATAACCTGCTGATAGCTAGAATGCACGTGAAACTCAAAAAGATTGTAATACCTAAAAATAAAGGCTGCAGAAAAAAATTTAAAGCCTGAAGGCATAAATAAAAAACAAAAGTGAATGACTTTATAAATTCTAGCATTAATGAAAGAGAAGAGAAAAGCCAAAGGGAGAAATGAGCCAAAATATCAAGAACTACAAAGTGGAATTAAAATAGAAAAAATAAAAAGGCCAAGGAAAAAGTGATTAACAGATCAACGCATAGAAATAGAAGAGTATGGCAGATAATACGACAGCTTTAATATGCATAGAAATAATATAAAAGCTAACAAATACCAAAAAGCGAGTACACTAAAGGATACTCAAAGATGATAATGGCAAACTCATTGCAGACACCAAAGATAAACTAAGATTTTAGCAAAAATACATAATGAAACTATTCGACGATGATATAATGATACAAGAAGAATCACAGGAAAAACAGGATCGAAAGTAATAATGTGCGAATTAGAACAGGCAATTAGAAATGCAAAGATCGCAAAATCAGTAAGCCCCGATCAGATACCCACTGAGCTAATGAAATGTATGGACGAAGAAACACTGCATATACTTTTAGAACTCTTCAACAAAGTATATATAACAGGAGTAATACCCGAAGATTGGTTGCTGTCCACGTTTGTAACACTACTTAAGTCAGAATGCTCCCAGTACAGAATAATTTCCTTAATAAGCCACCTCATCCTCATCCTGCCTCTATTTATCACGTCCACTGCTGGACATAGGCCTCTCTTAAACTCCTCCATTCCTCACGATTTTGTGCTCTTTGTTGCCAATTTTTATTGATACGCCTGATGTCGTCGGCCCAACGTGTAGGTGGTCTTCCTCTACTGCGTTTGTCTGCTCTTGTCCTCCAATTTGTAATTTTGCTCGTCCATCGTGAATCGTGCATTCTCGCTACATGGCCTGCCCAGTTCCATTTTAGTTCCGCTATGTGTTCCACAACATCAGTAATACTCGTCCTTCTTCGCAGATCTTCGTTTCTTATTCGGTCCCTCAACGTCACTCCCAGCATAGACCATTCCATTCGTCTCTGTACCACTCTCAGTTTCGAAGCCGTGGTCTTGGTTAAAGTCATAGTTTCCGCCCCATAGGTCATGACCGGTCATACGCATTGGTCAAACACTTTTCTTTTGAGGTTGATTGGTATGTTGGCCCTAAGTGTGTCTCGCAGTTTTCCAAAGGCTGCCCATGTTAAAGTAATTCGTCTTTGGATCTCACATGTTTGGTTATCCCTGCTGATTCTTATTTCATGACCCAAATACGTATATTTCTCCACCAGTTCTACCACTTTGTCTTGAATAGTCAAATGGTTATTGGGGACCAAATTTGTCATAAACTTAGTTTTGGTCAAGTTTATTCTCAGGCCCACCTTCGAACATGGAAAATCCAATTCGTTTAACATATCTGTAGCTTCTCCTAAATTATCTGTGATAAGGACAATGTCATCTGCGAAACAGAGATGGCTAAGCTTTTCGCCGTCTATCGTTATTCCTCTGTGGTCCCAATTGATCATCTTAAAGGCATATTCTAATGCCGTTATGAATAATTTCGGCGACAATGTATCTCCTTGCCTTATTCCACGATTTATTTTTATTGGTCGGGTTTTATTGTCTATCTTAACAGTCATAGTGGCATTTTTGTAAATATTATAGATAAGCTCACTATACCTATGGTCAATCCTGCTGTCATTCATTGCTTCTATAAGGCTGTCTAATTCGATCGTGTCGAACGCTTTATGAAAATCTATGAAAGTGAGAACAAGAGGTTTGTTATATTCTATAGATTTTTCAATAAGTGTCTTTCCTGTGTGGAGGTGATCATTGGTACCATAATTTGAGCGGAATCCTGCCTGCTCTCTCGGTTGGTAGAAATCTAATTTTTTCTCCAATCTTGATGTCACTACCCTAGTGAAGAGTTTGTATATGTGGTTCAACAGGCTAATAGGTCTATAATTTTCTAGGTCCGTTCTATCTCCTTTTTTATGCAAAAGGATGGTTGTAGCATTGTTCCACTCTTTGGGCACCTCTCTTTGCTGCAAACATAGATTGAATAGTTTCCTTAATTTATTTAATAGCATATCTCCCCCATTTACGATAGCTTCTATTACGATTCCATCCTCTCCTGGGGCTTTGTTATTTTTCATTTTTCTTAATGCTTGTCGAATCTCATCTAGCTTTATCTCTGGCATTAGTTCGGAACCTTGATTCTTGATCTTCTTTGAAATGGCTGTTTGTATTCCTGTTTTATCTTCTCGTCTACTTCTATATAAGTCCTCGTAAAACTCTTCGACGACCTGTATGAACTCGTCTCTACGTGATATTATTTCATTTTGCTTGTTTCTTAATTTATGAATTTCGCATTTCCCATTCGTTAGCTTTCTACGTAGAACTTTTAGGCTGTTATTTTCCTCTATAGTGCGTTTAATATAATCGGTATTAAATTTCCTTAAATCTCTCCTAATTGCTTTCGAAACAGTTCTGTTCATTTTTCTTAAAGTGTTGCTATCTACATTCTCATCGCTTCTCATTTGTCTTCTTTTATCCAAGAGCGTTTCAGTATATGGACTTATTTTACTATCTGATTTTCTTTTAGGACAATGCACTCGATGACTTTCTTGTAAGGCGTTTATGATGCAGTTATTCAAGTCGTTAATATCGTTAGCGGAGGTTTCCTGCAATAGAAGCTTATTATTGATATGTGTCTGATATTGGTTGATATCTAATGGGGGTGTCCAGATACCATGAAATTTATTTTTAATCATTATATTCCTTTCTCTTTTTATATTGATTTGAACTTTCGCTCGTATCATCCTGTGGTCGCTGTTTGTGGTGAACTTGTTGAGTACTGTTACATCTTTAATTATTTGTTTTTGATCACTTATGATGTAGTCGATTTCGTTCCTTGTTCTACCGTTTGGACTTTCCCAAGTCCATCTTCTGTGCATCTTTTTGTGAAAGAAGCTGTTCATGTTGAATAAGTTATTCTGAAGTAGGAATCCTAGTAGCTTTTCTCCTCGATCATTTTTTGCTGGGGAACCGAATTGCCCTAACGATGTTTCTAGATCTGCTTCTTTTACCCCTATTTTTGCGTTGAAATCGCCACATAAAATTGTGAATTGAGTACGAGAATCATCAAGCGCAGTGGATACATCGTCATAAAACATTTCAATTTCTTCGTCTGTATGGTCTGTTGTTGGAGCGTATACTTGGATAATTTTGAGTTGATACCTACTGTTCAGCTTCAGAATAAAATATGCCACTCTAGATGATATACTTTTGATGTTTATTATCTTGTTCGCGTGATTTTTACGGACAAAGAAACCGATAATAAGCCACAAACTTAAGATATTTCCCATAATAATAAATGGAAGACTATACAAAAAATATAGATGACAACCAGTTTGGATTCAGAGAAGGACTAGGAATGAGAGAGGCTCTATTCGCTTTTAACGTTCTCGCGCAAAGACGACTAGATATGAACCAGGATCTCTATGTCTGCTTTATAGATTATTAAAAGGCTTTTGATAGAGTACGACATCAGAAACTCGTAAAACTGTTAAAGGAAAAGAATGTGGATAGTCGAGATATACGGGCTATTGTCAATATGGACTAGAATCAAAAAGCAAAGGTTAGAATCAAAAATATTTATACAGAAGCTATAGAAATCAAAAGAGGTGTTAGACAGGGTTGCGTGCTGTCCCCATTGTTATTCAATCTGTACAGCGAAGCTATTTTAAAAGAAGCAATATCAGAGGAACAATAAGGTATATAAATAAACGAAAAAATCTTGAATAACATAAGATTCGCAGACGACACCACTGGTTTTGCAGACAGTCTAGAAGCACTGCAACGATTAGTAAATAGATTACATCAAGTCAGTATAAAATATAAAATACAAATAAACGTTAAAAAAACCAAGTACATGATTATTTCTAAGCAACATACAGTAGGAAGGCTAGATATCGATGTAAAACAAGTAGAAAGAGTGAATGACTACAAGTATCTGGGAACCTGGGTAAATAAAAACAATGACAAAGATAGAGAAATTAGGACACGCATTGAAATTGCAAGACAAGCATTTATACAAATGAAAACAATGTTTTTTAGTCGAGAGCTTCCTCTGGAGCTGAGGATAAGAGCGTTAAGATACTACATGTTCTCGACTTTGATGTATGGAATGGAAAGCTGGACACTAAAAGTAAATCATATAAAGAAATTGAAATAATTTGGGATTTTGTGCTATAGAAGGATTTTGAAAATACCATCGACCCAACGAGTTACAAATGCAAAAGTGAAAAAGGCTACAAAAAAACAAGAAAGCTGAAATACTTAGGCCACATTACCAGAGGTGCGAAATATGAGATATTAAGGCTCATAATGGAAGGTAAAATCAAGGGTAAAAGATTTATAGAAAGACGAAGAATTTCCTGGCTAACTCTAAGAGGGTAGTATAGTTGCAGCTCAGTAGATATTTTCACACATGGAATGGAAATCTCCGAGTGACACCAAAAGTAAAGTAGTCAGAAATCAAATTGACTTTGTCAATTATCTAAAGATGATTAAAAACACATATTTCTTAATGATCTTAAGATAAAACTAAAGATCATTAAAAAACACATACAGAAACAAATTGACTTGAGAAGAATTGACAAAATATAGAGAAACTGAATAGAAATACTGATAACATAGACCAAAAATGGGAGAATATTAAACATGCCGTAATGTTGGCAGGGAGAGAAAATTTAACACTAAGTGAGCAATGCCAGGAGTTGGAACAATTGGAGCGAAAATATGACTTTTTTAATGTACACAAAAAGATTAAAGAAATGACAGAAAGGAGAAGAACAACACAGACAGGACAGATCAAAGATACAGATGGTATAATTATAACAGATTTACAACAAAAAATGAACCGATGGACAGAATACATATCACAACTGTTTGATGACAAAGATAGACAAGAAATCTCAAACGAATATACAGATGATACAGGGCCTGATATAATCAGAGAAGAAATAGAATATGCAATCAAACAAGCAAAAAGTGGTAAGGCCCCCGGTCCTGATGAAATTCCCGTAGAACTGCTCAAACTTATGGACGATGAATCTATTAAAATACTCCTAGATCTATTTAACACAATATATAGAACTGGAATAATACCTAGGGAATGGCTCCGTTCGACCTTTATACTACTGCCAAAAAAGGCAAATACAAAGGAATGCAACGAATATCGTACGATAGCTTTGATGAGTCATGCTCTAAAACTGTTCTTAAAAATAATCCATAATAGGATCTATAGGAAATTAGACGTAGACATCAGTAACACTCAGATGGGATTCAGAAAAGGGCTGGGTACAAGGGAGGCTCTGTTTGCAATAAACGTTCTCTCACAGAGATGCTTAGATATGAACCAAGAAATTTACGCCTGCTTCATTGATTTCGAAAAGGCGTTTGACAAAGTACAACATGAACCACTAAGACAAGTTCTAATAAAGAAAAATATAGACAGCCGAGATATTCGAATTATATGCAATCTATATTGGAATCAAACAGCAAATGTCAAGGTTGAGGACAGACTAACAGAAGAAATTCAAATCCGTCGAGGAGTCCGACAGGGATGTATCTTATCGCCACTTTTATTTAATCTGTATAGTGAATTGTCTATCAGTTGGTCTGATAATAAATGGTGAGACGATCAACAATATAAGGTATGCTGACGATACAGTTCTCCTAACGGGAACGCTAGTAGAACTACAACATCTCGTTCAAAGTCTCAATATACTGTAACAGTTACGGCTTGAAAATTAATTTGAAAAAAACTAAATTTATGGTAATCACGAAATCAAAGAACATCAGAGGTAATCTTGTAATAGACAATACAACGATTGTGCGTGTGCCCTGTGATAAATATCTAGGTGCTTGGATCACAGACGATACTAATCAAACAAAAGAGATAAGATGTAGAATAGAAATCGCTAGATCACTCTTTAATAGAATGCGCAAACTCTTTTGCAATCGTGATATCAATATAAAGTTACGAATACGAATGCTGCGCTGTTATGTCTTTTCTACCCTGTTATATGGAGTTGAGGCTTGGACACTAAAACAGTTGACCATAAAAAACATCGAAGCTTTCGAGATGTGGTGCTATAGGCGCATTCTCAGAATATCATGGATGGACCGCGTCACTAACACGCAAGTACTCCAAACTTTAGACAAAAGATGCGAAATTCTAAATGCGATAAAAACTAGAAAGATGGAATACTTGGGGCACATTGTGAGAGGTGAAAAGTACGAACTTTTAAGAAACATCATGCAGGGCAAAATTAAGGGCAAAAGAAGTGTGGGAAGAAGAAAAATATCGTGGTTTCGTAATCTACGTGAATGGTTCGGGTGTAGTTCGATTGAACTTTTTAGGCGCGCTGCTAATAAAGTAGCAGTGGCCATGATAATTTCCAATATCCGCTAGAAGTGGCACGAGACGAAGAAGAAGAAGATATTTTCAGAGCAGCCGCAAATAAGGTACGGATAGCTGTGATGATAGTCAACCTCCGATAGAAGAAGGAACTACAAGAGCAAGAAGAAGGGTCAAAAACGTTTCGCTATATACCGTTTTGATTAATAAATCCATTTTAATCCGTTTTCCATTGTTATTCTTAAATTAATTAAAATACAAAATGGGTAAAATACCCAGAAAAAAAAATAAATGGATGAAAGAATACTTTTAAGCTGTTGTAACTGTATACTAAATATAATAATCAATTGATCTTTTATGACACTTACGAGACGAATAAAAGTACAAAGAGCCAGGAAATTAAAATGTCTCCGTAGAACTCTACAAATAGAGGAGTAACCACTTAATCAATCAAATTTAGAATATTATATTTACAAAAGTATGAAAAGAAAAATAAATGTTGTTTAGAATATTCTATTCTATTCTATTCTATATAAAGTGAATTCAAAAAGTACTACATGCTTATCTAAAATGGTTATTAAATATCTTGCTCCTGTCATAGAACTTTTATTCACAAGAACTAAGTACGGGCATCAAAACTTATACCAGCATAAACCATAACTGAGCCTTTTTGATAGGTTATTCTTTCGGCAATATTGCATGGCGTTCTTCTTGTCTTCTCCAGATTCTTTCGCGACCTTCTGGTGGCCTCAAACTAAAACTAGATTTATCCGAGAACAAAACATCTCTCACGGAATATTCGTGTTCTTCTACAAAAGCAATAGTCTGCAAACCCATGGTAGATTTTTAATAGGCCATTTACCCAGTTTAAATTGATATGGTGAAAAATTCAAAGATCAACCCTTAATTTAAACCCCCATGCTTTGTGTACCGATAAGAATTGGCGATATGGTTTCTTAAGTTGTTATTACATATTATAGTGTTGTTTTATGTGCGATTCATGCTGGGTCAATTGACCCACTAAAAATGTCCCATTGGCTGGTAGCCGAGGTGTGCAGTGTTCAGTGGATAGCTGTAGATATAGGGCTCATCTTATGCAGAATAAATTCACTTCATAAAGTCGTCGAAATTCGGTATAAATTTTGAACTCAAAACGTTTAAATATCAAATTGGTCAGATTGTTAAAATCAATGCGATATCAGATTAATTTCTTGGCGCTTATCGAACTTAAATTGTTGACAAAACATAAATTCCTATTGTTCATAAGAAATACCATATAAATTTTAAAAATAATGTATAAAAATTAATAGTAGTACTTATACGGGGTTTTTTCTAAATTTACCTATATATGCCATATAAAAAGTCCTAAGTTTTAAAACACGAAATAAATGGGACATTATGTCATTGATCAAATTTTTTGTACCTGCTATTATATCAATTAACAAAGTAAAAAATATTAATATTTAATTTACTATTTTTTAGGGTGTCACCTATCCTGCTATGCAGGAAATATGGTCGCATTGGGCCCCTCCTTCGGAAAAAAGTCGTTTAGTTAGCATTGCAGGGTCAGGCAGCTATTTTGGGGCCGTAGTGGCAATGCCTGTTTGTTCACTACTAGCGACGTCTTTTGGTTGGGAAAGTATATTCTACACATTTGGTAAGACATTTTATAAGTGGACAAAAACTAGCGTTTTTAGAAGTTATAAATGAAATTAAAAGATTAATTTTTTTTCAGAAAATAATTTAAATGTAAACGTAAACGGAATTAGGTGTCAATAATTAATATTATTACTAGACCAAAGAATTTGTTTGAAAACATTCAATAGAACTCTGTATCAACATAGAGTAAACCGTAAAAAATATAAGTCCGAAAGAAGGGGAGAAACTATTACGACAATATTTATATAATATATAATTCTCATTTTAACCCAGCCTAATTTAAAGCATTTGAAATAATTTAATAAAAATGGATGCCGGTGTCTCATACCGTGCTACAGTCATATTTTGTGTGAGATGCCGGCATCTCACACGGTAGCCAAGGTATTAGTCTCTGTATAGTGGACGTCAAATCTAACGAACCAGCTCACAAACCGGATTTCGTTTACTTAAAAGTCGACATGCCTACTTACACTTTAAACCTTATTCTGGCTTACTGTCACTAGTTTAACTATTATCATTAACGATTATACATCTTCTTCTTTGAGTATCGTGCCCAAGTTTAAGGCGTGGGTAGCTTCCATGACGATTTTCTGATATCGTTCTCGATCTTGCGCGGCATGTAATAATGCATCTGCTGATAAGCCAGTTCGTTGACGAAGGTTTCGGAGCCATGAGTATTTCTTCCTACCAATCGAATTAATTTGGCAAAGGTTAAGAATGTCATTCAAAGGAATGTCATGTTTAAACTTAAGGACGTAGAAAATTAGCGGAAGAAAAATTTAATAAAAGCGGTATTGAAGATGGAAAAAACGGGACAATCATGTTATAAAAAAAGAAGATAAATATATTGAAAGAGAAATACAAACTGATCTATATTCGGAAATTAATCCTATCGTCTTTAGTCTTGAAGACAATTCGAGTGACAGTGACTGTGAGTCTTTTTTTGACGAAGACATGAATATTATTAATGTAGTATAATGTTAATACTTGTAAATAATTTAGGTTGTTATACTCTTGCAGTTATTTGTTTTTTAAGTTGTGTTGTAATACAGGGTGTTTCAAAAAGGTATGTCATAAATTAAATCACTCATTCCGGGGACAAAAATAAATTGATTGAATCTAATGTACCTTATTACAAATGTGAACACAAAAAACTTACAGCCCTTTGAAGTTACAAAATAAAAATTATTTTTTGCATTGTTTCCTAAACTACTTGAAATTTTGTACTACACATGAACACGTTACTTTCTTGTTCTGAAAGCATTTTTTATAAAAAAGAAACAACAAAATCTAAGTGCACAGAATAATTTTAAGGGGGGTGTGCAGCGCTAAATCCCCCCAAACTTTTAAGTATGTTTAAATCAAATAAATTTTGTGGCATCATTAGTTTAAAACATTATTTAAAAAAAAAATTTATTATTATTTATATATTATATTAGCGGCGCTAATAACCACTTAGGTTGATGCGCCTTTTGTAAATAAAAAAAAAATTAAACAAGAAAATTTTATTGTTTTGTCTGTTTTTATAAAATGTGTGAAATTTTAAACAAAACTTCAATACAATATAAGTTTATATAACACACATTTACGGATATCGTTAAAAAACAGATTAACTTTTAGGGCAACAGTAGGACAAGTAACTTTTTTTCCAATTATTTTTTACTTTTTTATGAATTACTATAAATATTTAGGTAAGACCTGTAAAGTTATATACTCAAACAAAATTCCATGAAAATCCGTTTAAATATAAAAAAGTTATTAAGTAATGAAGTTTCGTAAAAATTTCAATTGTGTTTTTCTCGAAACTACATTATTTGACATATCCTACTGTTATTTTGATTCTTCATATATTGTGACTACTGTAACCACCTATGAATTGATAACTTATTTAATGAATTAGTTGAATAATTTACCTATCATTAATTTTTAGGTGTAATTGGATTCATTTGGTACGCAATATGGCTGCTAGTAGTCGCAGATACTCCATCCACAGACAAATATATAAAAGAAAAGGAAGTAAATTATATAAACGAAGCCATTAGTTCTATTAAAAGTGATGAAAAAATCAGCACCCCTTGGTGTACTATTTTAAAGTCACGTGCAGTATTGGCAAGTACCGTTTGTTTATGTTGTGAAACTTGGGGATTTTATACGCTATTAACATTTTTGCCTCAAATGATGAAATGTAAGCATGTTTCTTGTTTGTTATTGTCGCTTATATATAAAAAGACTATAAAAATGCAAGTGCAGCGTCTGTTTTAATGTAAAATTATTATTACCAATGACACGTGCAATACATTTTTTCTGTGGTTTCAACATTATCGATAACTAGGACAAGGTTTGTAGAAAATCGGAAATGAGTTACACTAATTTTTACAATTTAAATCTTAATAAAATCAAAGAAACTATCGAAGTTATTTTGTACGTTTTAGTACTCATTTACATCGAGTTTATTTCTTTATCTTATGTTTCAAAAGATTTTTTCTGTATCAGCTTGTTTAAATTCGCTTCTCAATGTATGTCTACTCTTGATAGTTTCATTCTTGTCTCTTACCTACAAGTAGATGACAATATTTATCCTTGCTTGAATAAGAGGTCTCCCAATAAGAATGTCCTGATGTTTTTTTTATTAAATTTTTTATTGCAAAATATAAAAGATATCAATTATGTTCCAAATAACACATCATTCAAATGTCCACCGCAACTACGCTTGCAGGAGCGAATCCGGTGAACCCAGTTTTCGGTCACTTTATGCAAAATATCCGCATTAAGCTCACGAATGGTGTACTCTATGTTCCTCTTTAAGTCTTCAATAGATTGTGGTTTGTTCACATAGACCAATGACTGAACATAGCCCCATAAAAAATAATCCAACGGTATTAAATCGCAGCTTCTTGGAGGTCAAGCATCTGGTCGAAGTGGCTGAATTCTCCTGGGATCTCTGGCATCAAGAGAAATCAATGTTTCCGGGAATTTTTCCTTCAATAAATCAATGGTTGGGGCAGTAGTGTGACATGTGGCACCGTCCTGTTGGAAAAACATGCCATCTAAATCCATTTCATCCAACTGAGGCCACAAAAAATCCGTTATCATCGTTCGATACCTTTCACCGTTGACTATTATACCATGTTCGAAAAAATAAGGTTCGATGATGCCACCATATCATAAACCACATCAGACAGTGACTTTTTCTGGATCCAAAGGCTTCCCAAAAATCTTATTTGGAATAGTTTTACTCCAAAAACGACAATTTTGCTTATTCACAAATCCGTTTAACCAAAAATGAGTTTCATCGGAAAAGATTATTTTTTTGAAAACATCGCCATTAATTTCGGGTTTGTCTAGAGCCCTATCAGCAAACAAACGACAATAATAATGGTCAAGTGGGTTTAGCTCTTGAGTCAAAACAATATTGTAAGGGTGTAGGCCTAAATATTTTCTCAGAATTCGCTAAGTTGTCATTCTGGTGAGTTCAAGTTCTTGAGAATGACGATTTATGGACACATCTGCATTCTCCGCTACACTGGCTCTTACAGCAGCAATAGTGTCCTTAGTTTTTGCATTTCGACGGCTAATTGGTGGTTTCGTATCGTGCAGAGTAAATTCACGTTCAAACTTTTCCACGATTCGACGAATTACACACACATCAGGACGATGATTTGGTCCATAACTTTCACGTAATGCACGATAGGTATTCATAAAAGAACGATTATTAGCATAACATTTTAGGATAATTTCCAAACGTTGTTTAAGCGTATATCTTGCCATGGTAATTTGTTATAGTATACTAAATACAAAACGTTAACAAGTGACAGTTCTACTAGTTTCAAAATTGTCAATATGACAGTTTAAAAACAGGACGTCCCTATTGGGAAAACCAGTATTCATCAGCTCCGATTCTGTATTCTTCCCTGTTTATCAACATCGCCAATAATTCCTAGCTTGTCAACTGTTAGACATAAGTCTTCTTTAAATATTTCTATATATCTTTGTTGTGTTCCCAAACACAGTTCGTCGCGAAATTGGTCAGTACATCATGTGAGAAGTTTTGTCTACCCGTGACAGACTCAGTCAAGCAATTTTTTTGTTTATCTGCTATCCTCCCAATTTTTGTTTTTATATAGTTTATTTTGTTCCGAGGCCCAATTATGTTTCTATGAGGAATGAAAAATAAAAAAATAAAAATACTCTGTTACGCAGACGACGCAATATTGATAGCCCAACGTGAAAATAGTCTACAATACTCTACAAAGACTGGCCTACAGATTTAACATGAGAGCAAAAGAATTTAATATGACAATCTCATTTCAGAAAACTAAAACAATAGTAGTCAGCAAAGAATCAACCAGGGCATTAGTGTTGAACAATAAATAAAATACCTGGGAATTACACTGTCCAGCTATAAAGACCTGACAAAGAAGTGAGAAATCAAGTACAAATAGACTGGAGAATGCCTTAATAACACTATATTGCGAAACAGACATATTAACACTGAGATGAAGTCAAGAATTTATAAAGTCAGTGTAAAAAAAATACTGATATTTGCCTTAGAAACAAGACCTTACACAGCCACAACCCAAAGGCTACTGGAAACGGAAGATATGCGAGTACTAAGAGGAATTACAGGAAAAACGCTGACAAATCGAAAGAAAAGTGAAGACATTAAACGAAAATGTAACATACAGTATATAAATGAATGAACACAAAATAGAAAAAATAATGGAATAACCACTTAAGCAGAATGGAGGAGATCTGTGTCGTCAAAGTAGCATTGCAAAAGCTTTGTGCCCTGAAAAATTAATTGGCAGGACCCTGGTCTACCTGGACTTTCGGCATACGACCGTTAGCGCTCCCACTGCCCCTACGAGTCCGACACCAATTGGAGGTGGCACGATGCCGGAACATCGTAGGGCTCCACCTCCCCCGTAGTACCTGTGTTGCGGGTCACGCCACCCTTCAGTGAATCCTCCCCCCGGAGGCGGAAAGGCACGCAGGTGGTGGAATACCACCTCGCACGTAGACAGGTCGCCGCCGAGGAATCGCTCCTCTACCACTCTTTGATCATTCCAAGGTGTGGTACGTGCCGAGTCTCCCTCTCCCTCTTCCGCGGTGTCAGCTTCCGGAGGAGCCTCCGTACTTGGCTCGTTCAACCACACCCGACTCTTGTGGAAAATGAGAGTAGAGTGGTCCCACGAGGTGCTCGTCTCGGATACTAGGAATGTATACCGGTGACTGAGATGACTAAGCATCTCTGTGCGTTTCTACCAACCCGACACCTCAAACGACGGCCCTCCACCTCTCATGTCCGCCCATTAGTCTCCTCTTACGACAGGCAGGGTCTTCTGGCCCCGGCCGTATTCTTATCTCCTCGAGCCGGAAGGAGCGTCAAAGTAGCAATAGATAAGTCACCAATGGGCAGAAGAAGTATCGGACGACTGCGCAAAGGATGGAGTGACAACCTTCCATAGAGGTATTAATCCGCCAATGGACAAGCAGAATAGCTTATAAAGAGAAAAAAGAAGAAGATAATTTATCCCCAACCCGAAGTTTATTTTTGCTTACTGAAGATAATGTATCATAGCTCTGGATCCTCTTAAATCATCTGCTATTAGAAAAACGTCCGCTGAGGTTTTTTGTAGGTACTTATATAATATATACTTAAAATAATATCTCTTAATATAATAATGAACAAAATAATACAAGCAGTAAGTAAAGATCATGGCTACACAATGGGAACAAAATCCAAATATTATGTTAGTTATGCAGACGACGCCGCATTAATCGCCGACACAGAAGACGAACTCCAAAGATTAACACATTTCTTTAATACAACAGCTAAGAAATACAATATGATATTATCAGCGGAAAAAAACAAATGTATGACATCTAAATACCCACTACGGTGTAAAATCGAAATTGATGGGAAAATAAAAAAGCAGAAAGCAAGGTTTAGATATGTGGAAATATACATACCTAACTAGTTACGGAGATGTTGAAGAAGAAGTACTACAACAAAGTTTAAAAGCAAGTAAAGTGTGGGATCTCTTAATAACACAATCTGAAAGAACAAACACCTAGGACAAGACACAAAAACAACAATGTATAAAGCAGCAATTAGACCTATATTAACATACACAGCGGAGACAAGACATCTACACACATCCACACATCTAAAACGAGACGGCTACTAGAAACAACAGAGATGAAAATACTCTAACGAATATCAGAGAAAAGTCTGTTGAATAGTGATAGAAGCGAAAACATAAGAAGAACATGCAATATAGAAAATATAAATGGATGAAATGGACAAAACGGAAACAGGAGTGGAACGAACACATCAGTAGAATGGCAGAGGACAGGATAGTACTAATAGCACGAGATAAGTCACCAAATGGACGAAGAAGTATTGGCAGACCAAGAAAAAGATGTTGCGACAATTTAAACAATTTAGGAGGCTAATATTGAAGAAGAAACAGGCCTCAAAGCCTACGTACAAGAAGAAGGAAGATGGTTTGGTCATGTTCAACGTCGATATGTTCGTTACCCAATACGCAGAATTGCTGATCTGCTGGTTTCTGGATGGAGTAGGAGAGAAAGGTCAGAGTAGTACCAACAGGAGACGCTTAGGCAGGACATGTAATAGAGAAATTGGATCCCGCGTAGGGATGAAGGCAAAGAGGATCGAGTACTGAAATAGAAGTAAAGTAATGCCTGTAGAGCCATCGAAAACAAAAACTTATAATTGAGATATACCCCTAACCAAAATGTTTTGGTTAGGGGTATAATTATAAAAAATATTTTTGCGAAATTTATGTAAAAATTGTATTACACAGCAATTATTTACGAATATTACTTATATTACCAACAACATCGAAGAAATATACGAGCATATAAATGCGAGTATAAAACAAGCAGCACTATTATGAAATAAATGAACCAACAAAAAGAATAATTGAAGAAAAACAAACACCTATACAAAAAATGGCTGACTACAAACAACGATGAAGTTTATAAAGAATATAAAAAAAAGTAAAGAAGTGAAAAAACAAATAACACAATAAAAGAATGAAGAATAGGAAAGAACCTGCTTTAATATTGAAACATACATAGGAGGTACAAGAACTTCGGAGTCATGGAAAGTACTGAAAGGATTGAAACACAACTCAAAAGAAAAAATTAAATTGGGAAATATACAGGACAAAGAATGGAAGGACTATTAAAAGGAACTGTTAACAGAACAAAGACCATACTTCATTGGAAAAGAAAACAGGCAAAGACGAAGCAGATACCCACTACAGGAAATAGAAACAACAGATAGGGAAATGAGAACGGACATAACAACAATCAAAAATAAGAAAGCACCGGGACTTGGAGGCATCTCACCTGAGCTTATAAAATACGGCTCAAAAAAATTACACAAGATAATACAAATGATATGTCAGAAAGCCATAAATGGAGAACAGCTTCCAAAGGAATGGACGGACATCTATATTGAAGAGAGGAAATAGAAAACGATGCGACAGCTACAGCGTAATATTAACAATAGGAAGGGAGGCAGGGAACAACTGTTGGAAAAGAAAAAAGCAAAAAATAGAGATATACATTTGGCATTTGTGGACCTGAGAAAAGCGTATTACTCTGTACCAAGGTCAGTACTATGGAAGGCAATGTACAAATTAGAAATACAGACGGAACTCAAAGAAGCTACAAAAGCTCTGTATAAAAAAATAAAGTGTCCACTAAAGTGGGAACAATAATCATAGGAGACTTTACCACAACAAAAGGGCTCCTGCAGGGTTGTTCCACCTCTCCAACCCTATTCAAAATATACTTGGCCTTGAAAGCCTTGACTACAGGAACAGAAAATGCGAAATCATGGCAGTACCGGTACAGAGCGAATACCTATATACGTTAAGCTTTGCAGACGATCAAGTAATGATTTCACAAGACCAAGACGACCTCAGCTACGTGATGAAGAAACTACAAGAAGAATATAATATACCAACGCTGTCCCAGATATTAAAAAAGTACCTATCTACAAGTAACGAAGACATAGAAGATCTACAGACTGATGACAACGTAAGAATCAAGGGAAAGGATAAATTCAAATACTTGGGGTTTATATTCACGAAAAAACCAACAATAAAGGAAGAAATTACGCAAAGATTAGAACAAACAAGAACAGCAATCCGACAAATTAACTCAGTATGGTGGGATAGATACCTAAATATGAAAACAAAAACATAGATTTATAAAACATTAGTGCGAAGTATTATGACGTATGAGGCTGAAAATTGGATTATAAACAAGGAAAAAAGCAGTAAAATGGGAGCAATAGAGATAAAATGCCTGCGAAGATGCTGCAGAGTAACAAGAATGGATAGGAGAAGTAATGAAATAAAGCAAAGAATATCAATAGAAACAGACATACTAACATATATAGAACAAAAAAGACTAAAGTGGTATGGATATGTGAGAAGAACTAGCGACAGCAGATGGATAAGGGGAATAACCAAATGGAGCTCCATAGGAAGGAGAAAAAGAGGAAGACTCCGAAGATCCTAAGGGAATAAAGTAGACGACGCTATAAGTATGAGAGGTCTAAACGATGGAGAATGAGACAATATGAAAGACAATATGAATTATAAAAGACTGGTTATGTATTTTTATTTGTTTGGATCTCTTGTATGGGCGTGACTCCGTAACTACAATAAAAAGAATATATTCCACGGAGTCCCTCTGTTACTATTTTTTTTTTTGGTGATTTTAAATATTCCTTTCTTTTTTAGCCCTTTTAGGATTTGATCTCAACCAAGCTGGATTTCTCTCAGCATTGCCTTATTTAGCCATGTCTATTATGGTACAAGTTGGTGGTTACCTAGCTGATTATATATTAGGCAAAAAATACCTTACTACGACACAAACAAGAAAATTAGGGATTATAGTGGGTTTTACGTTCCAAGGTCTATTTATTCTTATTGCTGGATATTGGATATCTAAATTTGGAACTCCTTTTTGTCTAGTCACTGCTGTCGGATTGGGCGGACTGGCCTTAAGCTCATTGCTGTAAGTATTTTTTATGAATCCTGAATTTAATATAGTTTTAGTTTGAAAAATAATCTAATCAAAGCACAATAACAAAATATTACTATTTATCTTGTGTATCTTCTTCTTTATGTGCCGTCTTCTACCGAAGGTTGGCGACCATTATACGATAGGTTTCTCTGTTTTGTGCCGCATGAATTATGTTCGCAGCTTCTGGTATTTGAAACGATTCTCTCAAGTTTCTCAGCCAGGATTTCTTCTTTCTGTCCAAACCTGTTCTACCTTCAATATTGCCTTCCACGATAAGCTGTAGCAGGTATGACGCTTTCCTCCTTTTAACAGTTGTTAACAATTCCACCTCTTTACTCATTCGTCTTAATACCTCTGTGTTGGTCACTCTGTCTGTCCAAGGTATTCTCAGTATGCGTCGATACAGCCACATTTCTAGAGCCGCTAACTTCTTGATAGTTGCTGCTGTTAACGTCCACCCTTCTACGCTGTAAAGTAGCGTAGAGAGTACGTAGCATTTCGTGGCGCGCCATCGGAGGTTAATGCTTAGGTTGCAGTTGCTTAAGAGCTTTCTCATTTTGATGAATTTGGATCTTGCTATTTCAATTCGGATCTTAATCTCTACTTCTGGGTCCCACTTGTCATTTACTGTATATCCCAGATATTTAAATCGGTGTACTCTTTCAATACGTTCGTCTTCAATATGCAGGTCGATATGTTGAAATTTTTTTTTACTGATCACCATAAATTTAGTTTTCTTTCTATTGATCTTCAGTCCAAATCGGCTGCCAGTTGTATTAACTCTATGTAGCATCATCTGTAAATCTTCGATGTTATCGGCCAGTATAATAGTATCATCTGCGTATCGAAAATTACTTATTGGTACGCCAATAATCTTGATGCCCTCATTGTACTCTTCTAGTGCCTCTAGAAATATTTGTTCCGTGTACAGGTTGAAAAGCAGTGGCGAAAGAATACAGCCCTGTCTTACCCCTCTAGAAATGGTTATGTTTTCACTCACCATATGTTCATTCTTCATGTGGGCTGTTTGATTCCAATATAGATTTTTTATAATCTGGATGTCCTTAGTGTCAAGTCCTGAAAGACGTAATAGTTCTATGAGTTTGTCATGTTTGATAGTATCGAATGCTTTCTCATAGTCGATAAAACAGACGTAAACATATTTCTGTTGATCCAGGCATTTTTGAATCAAAACTTGTATTGCAAAGAGGGGTTCTCGAGTTCCAAAACCGCATCTAAAACCGAACTGTGTTTTACTTATGCTGTGTTCTAATTTTGCTCGTATTCTGGAATGGATAATACGCAAAAATACTTTAAGGGTGTGGCTCATTAAACTTATAAGGCGATATTCACTACACGTCTTAGAATTATATTTCTTGGGAAGGGGCACAAATGTAGATTTCAACCAGTCCGATGGAATTTGACCAGTTATCGTATATCTTATTAAACAGTTCCAATACTACATTCAGGTTGTTCTCGTTAAAAACTTTTAAGAATTTGACTGGTATTTCATCGCATCCTGTTGCTTTCCCATCTTTCGTTTGATCTATAGTTTTTATCACCTTACTTTTCAATATTTTTGGTCCATTCAGATCAAGAGTGTTCGTAGAAATATGACGATAATCCGTAAACAAATCTTTTATGTAGATTGCCCAAGTCTGTAACTGTTCTTCTTTATCTACAATAAGTTTATTGTTCTCGTCTATTAACCTACCAATCTGTTTTTTCTTGTAAGTATAAGTAAACTCCTTGATTTTTTTAAGCATGTTAAAACTATCGTGTCTTCGTTCTAGCTCTTCTATGCAACTATTTTTCTTGCAACCATTTCTCTTTGAATTCTTTTATCTTTCTGCTGACAGTTCTACCCAGTTCTTTATATTGTTCGGGATTATTCTTATTTTCCCTCCTTCTGTCCATAAGGTGTAATATTTCATCTGTCATCCACTCGTTCTTCTTCTTCCGCTCGGAGTCACCAATTACTTCTTTCTTGTGTATAAGCATCAAAATGTTTCTTGAAATTGACCATTCACGCAAATGTTGCAAAAAAGCAAATTATTTTATTATCCATAGGCTGACAAATCAAAACAGTTAACATAAAATTAAAATTATGAATGTGTTGCTTGTGTGAGTCCATTTCAAATAGGTAAAAGAAATAATAAATAAGACTTACTTACAATCAGTTTAATTTAACTATCTAGACGACCGGTTTCGCTTTTTACAAAATGCAAAGCATCTTCAGGTCTGTCGATACAAAGTTAATTAAATGATGCTGGTCATTAATTAATGGTTGGAAGAACATAGTTCAAACTATCCTGTATTGCTAGATGGAGAACTTCAGTTTTTACTATTGTAATTGTTTGACAATAAATGTGGAAGTTTCTTGAGGAGACAGATTGTATCCAATGAAGTGGAAAATAGGTGTAATGTGATTGTTTGTTTAATGAGAGTGATGTTCTATATTATTCAATTCTTTAAAAGTTATTTATATTTATTCAAGAGATATATTTATGAAATGTGTGTTTTATTTATTAAGAATTTATTAAATTGACAGTTGTATGGAAATGAATGAAATTAGATGTACAATTGTGTGGATGTGCAATTTTCTTCAACTTATAATTATCAAATTTCTTTGATTAAGTTCAATTGACTTACTATTATATGGCAAATGATTGTAAAGTCCAGTATGTAAAATTATTAAAACTAAAACAATTAAGGACACTTAGGGACAAACAGAACACACATAAAAATGACGAAACAGTCATTAAGTTTTAAAAAAAGGGCAATTAAAAGCACTACATCTCTGACTTTTTTTGTTGTCTATTAGATTTTAAAAGATAATCTTATGCTTATGGTCCTATAGTTTTTACAAACTTCTGCTCTTGGTTTTTTGGGCAATGGTACAAACTTCGATTGGAGCCACTCTACTGGTATTTTTCCTGCCTTGTTTATTTCATTTAATTTTTCAGTTATTATTTTTATTTGTTCTGAATCTAATAGCTTTAACAGTTCTGCAGGAGTTTTATCAAATCCCGGTGCCTTTCCATCCTTCATTTGCCTGACGGCTGTCGTTATTTCTTCTGGTAGGATTTCGAAACCTGAATTGTCTTCAATGGTTCAAGATACGGGTTGCTGAAATTAATTCTTCAAGAAAAAGTAGAAAGAAAACGAGGACCAGGAAGGCGAAGGATTTCCTGGCTGAAAACTCTACGTACATGGTTTAACACAACAACGACATCTCTTCACAGCAACAGTTTGTAGAATACATATTGCCATGATGGTTGCCAACATCCGAAACGGATAGGCACTACAAGAAAAAGAACGCATTTCATTTTTCAAACCCGGCTATATAGTTGTGTCCAGTAAAAAACTAATTTAATCTAATATTAAAATATTCTTCTTAAGCTTTTTCTTGTGGAATATAAATACAAATTAGATACTAAGTATTTTTATTAGAAAAAAGTGAGAATTTTACTTTAAAATAGGTTCATTTTGACATTTTGATTTCCACTTCTAAAACAGTTCCCAAACTACAAAAAAATTAGACAAATTTAATTTGTATTACTTGGTAAAAAAATCTTTTAAAAATTTAATTTTATCCGACTCATTACATAAAATTGATTGTAACTTAAAATTACCTGTCAAGTCTTAAATGCTAAAAATTAATTTATTGTCATTAGCAGCCATAGTTTTCAAATAATATCATTTTTTTATAACTTCTATTTCATGAATTTTTAAAAACGATTTCCAGATTGGAAGTCGCAATATCCGCATTTATATATGTTAGTTATTTATAAGTGATGAGGTCCTCAGATTTTCACAGTAAACTCTTCTGCAGCTATCTACTTAATTCGATAGCTACTTTACTGTGGACTGTCCAAGTTTCTCATTTTTCTCTTTTTTTTATTTATTATTTTTTTATTTGTTTTTTAAATTTTTTTTTATTATTTTTTTTTTATTTCCTTTTTTATTATTTTTTATTATTTTTTTTTATTTTTTTTATTTTTTTTTCTTTTTTTTTAATATTTTTGTTTTTTTTTCTGTTTTTTTTTCTTTTTTGTTTCTAACAAATTACAAAACTTAATCTATATTTATAATTACAATTTGAGTTTAATATCTAAAACATGTTTATACAATAATCTATATAAAAACTTATTGTTTTCTAATGTTAATAAATAACTTAAATTAATGGGATGGTGGACATCGGTCAAAGAATACAGCGAATTTAAAAAATTATTAACCTGATTAGAAATAAGAGAACAGTCTAAAATTTTATGTTGTAGGTTACCAATCTGACCACACGTACATTAGTACATTCTGGAATATCAGCTAGATTCATTTTAAACATATATGATGGTGTAAGACAGTGGTTAAATCTCAGTCTGCATATAGTTCTTGTCATATCCTTTGTCGAATCCATTTTAGCAAACCAAGATTTATCCGTAATATGGTTTCTGATTGCTCTGTAATGCTTTCCTGTATTAATATTCTCATTAATATACCTTTCTTTCCATTCCTTCTTAAGCTCTTTAAACGTGTCTGATTCTATATCTCTAGACGTACAAAGATAATTAGGTTAATACTCCTCGTGGCACAGTGTTTTTTGCCAATTCATCTACTATCTCATTTCCAGTTATTTCACAATGGCTTTTAATCCATGACAATTTAACAGTTTTGCCTTGTTGCTGAAGTTCTTTAATTTTATTTATTATATATAATTCAACGTAATTTACTTTTGATTTAGGATTTATGGCAGTAATTTTACTTAAAGCACTTTTGCTGTCACTATAAATTATAAACTTTGAATGATTTATATTAGATAAATATGTTAGTGCTTCCACTATCGCTATTAATTCAGCTGTGTATATACTCATGATGGAATTGAGTTTAAACATTTTACTGTTTTTATTATTGTCATCCCAGTATGTACATCCCACTTCTTCGATACTTTTGGATGCATCTGTATCTAGTATATAATAATCTTTGAACAATTGAGAACTGTCAGACAAAAACATTAATTTTCTTAAAGAAAAAGGTAAATTGCTGTAGTCCCTTAAGAAGTATACCTGAACTTGTTCTAGAGTATTAAAGTCAATACTGTAATTTGGGTTTATGTCATATTTATATAGTTGTTTATCATATATTATCATTTTTGAATATAAATCTACTATATTTAGAGTTTTCTTTTTATCCAATATTTTTCTGTTAAGTCTGATAAGAACAACTGGTGTATTTTTGAATATTAAACTTGACTTTTTCTCGTACAATCTCACTAAAAGTCTAATGCAAAGTTTTTTCGTCTTATATCCATTGGCATTTCACAGCATTCGACTTGTAGGTTACTAATGGGTGTACTTCTTAGGGCTCCTATACACAATCTAAGGCATTTATTAACGATTTTGTCTATTTTGTTTAAATGACACTGTGATGGTCACTGTTCTTGATAAATGGCTTTATCATTTGCAAATTGTAAAATTCTTGTGGAGTTTAAATTTTTTACTAGATCAGCAGTATAAATTAAATATAACAATGGGCTTAATATTCCTCCTTGAGGTAAACCATCCATCGCTAGTCTTGGACCAATTGTGTTACCATTTACCGATATATAAATTTTTCTACAGTCATACAGTTTTATTATTTTTTGACAGAAACATTCGGGAAGACCTATTTGTGTCATTTTGTTGTATAGGATACTTAAATTAACGTTGTCGTATGCTGATTCAACATCTAATAAAAGAGTTGTTACTGAAGAATTTGACGGAAACGCTAAATTTATATCTGTTACGTGACGTAAACGCTAAAATAAATTTAATTGTAATTACAATTCATTGTGATTTGTTCCCAAACATAATATATTCAGTTTAATTTTACAATTTATATATATTTTCAGAATTAATCCACTGGATATAGCTCCAAAATTTGCCGGAGTTATATTTGGCATTAATAACACATTTGCGACCATACCCGGAATAGTCTCGCCGATTTTAACTGGATATATAGTGACTGACCAAGTAAGTTACAACTTTAGTAGGTTATAATTATTAATGATTATGCTTATGTTGGAATCCGTGTTAATGTTATATTCATGTGTAATCAGAAAATTATAAAAATTAAAGACGACAATAATAAGTAAGAAGCAGAAATATAAAATAACAAAGCTATCAAAGAACAAAACCTTACACATCGCTTCTAAAACTTCAGTACGAAAAAGACTGTGCAATCAGAAGTATCACCAAATATAAAGAGATTCGAAATAGAAAGAGCTTTAAAAGATCTAAAAAACAATAAAGCTCTAGGACACGACGATATAATTTCTGAGCTGTTAAAAACAAGCAAGACTTTAACAATCCTTATACTAACAGAGCTATTTTATTTATGTCTCGTTAATAGTAAAATCACTTAAAACTGGAATGAGAGTTTAGTAATATTCTTACACAAAACGGGGATAAATGTGACCTAAAGATTTATAGACCTATATCGTTGTTCAGTCGGGTGTACAAACTATCTATGGGAATTATTAATAACTGGTTGTCTTACAACCAGTTATTAATAATTCGAGATATAGGCAACTAATCAACTAAGTTAAACAACCTCAGATCAGATTCGCTGACGACATCGTGATTATAGCGCGAGAATATTCGAGGAACTATAAATTATGATGGAGGACTTCGCAAATAGCTTCCAATACGTCGGCCTATAGATAAAACGTCTGAAATTAGGTGCCTTCCCTGTACTAGTAATGTAGAAAAGCGTTTTCTTTTATATTAGCTGACTATTCTTGTTTTTATATAACATTCTTTTGTTTTCAGACCAGTGTTGCTCAGTGGAGGATAGTGTTTTATATAGCTTCAGCTATTTACTTGTTTGGAGCAATCTTCAGTTTTCTATTTACTGATGGAAAACAGCAATCTTGGGCAGATATAACAGTTCCTCATAACAACGGACTGGAGTCAGCTATTGGTTATGAAAACCACACGGTTGAAGTCGATCGTTCTGACTATGCAAACAAGACATCACAAATCAAGTAGTTCTGCTTGTATTTATAAATTTTTTAATAAAGTATTTAAAAAAAAAATAATAAGATTAGTTATTTTACAAATACACAAATAATACATTGTACCTCTCTTATACCGCAGATTGGGGATACTTTGAACTCGGGGGTTATTTTGATCAAAATTTTAAAAATTAATTATATGCCTCAGGCGTGTGCGCTTAGCCACTGCCGATAACCAAATTTTGCCTAGTCGACAGCAATGTTACTATTATTTAGTATTTATGACCATTCGATACCGATACACACGCGTGTGCTGGAAGTACAAGCATTTTTTTGGAGTATTGAGTTTAACATCAATATTGTTAAGTGAAAAACTTCGTACATATCACGGTAAGTATATTGTTTATACAACGTATTTTTTCATGTAGTGATTAGAAGTACTTTGATCATGAATCTCACTGAAAATAACGTAAGCAGGTTATGGGAGTGATTAAGAAAGAGTACGGCGTGAAATTACTGGGGGAAACATTGATCAATACAATGGGCAACATTGATCGTGTGATCAATGTTACCCCAGACGATCCGTATAATCGTTTTTTCGAACAGATGAAAATATTAATCAAATAAATATTATTTAAACGTATTCTTTCTTGCAGGAAAATGCCCCGTAAACATAAAAGATTACTTGGCAGCAGAATTTACGCTGATTACCCTCCAGCAAATTTAGAAAAAACCATTGAACGGGTAGTTGAAGGTACACTATCTATAAGAGAAGCATCAAGACAATATAAAATTTCCTTTGGTACCCTTTATAACAGATATAAAGAAAAACATATTGGCACCCTCGGACGTCCTACTATTTTCACCAAAGAAGAGGAGGTAGCAATTTTAAAAGCAGCCGCTAAATGTGCTGACTGGGGCTTTCCTTTATCTATTCAGGACCTACGAATGATGGCAAAATGGTATTTGGATCAACAAGGAAAAAACGTGGCTATATTTCAAAATAATTTGCCTGGTATTGACTGGGCATACAGCCTACTTAATAGGCATAAGGATTCGTTTGGGCAACAACTAGCAACAAATATTAAACGTGCTAGAGCTGCTGTCATCAATCACTCCAAAAGTTGTACCACTATTATGGTATGTGCTGCTGCAGACGGAACTCTTCTCCCTCCCTACGTTATTTATAAAAGCATTTACCTGTATGATACGTGGAAGGAAAATGGACCGCGTGGTTTACCTTGCTGCGATAAACCATGCTGCAACCAAGAGACGAGGTATAATCCTACTCAAAGTGGATGGATAGATGGCGTAACTTTTAGAGCCTGGGTCACAACTTGCTTTTTACCCCATGCATGACGTTTAGAAGGAAGAAAAGCTTTGATAGGAGATAATTTGTCATCACACATGGATGTTAAAGTTCTTAAGATGTGTGCTGAATATGAAATTGACTTCATATGCTTAGTTCCAAATTCTACCCATTTGTGCCAACCACTGGACGTGGGCTTTTTCAGGCCAATGAAACAGGCTTAAAGGACGACGTTAACGGATTGGAAATTACAAAATTTGCGACTAAGTACAGCTTCAAAAGATATGTTTTCATCTCTTTTAAGAAAAACATTAAAAACTCTTGACGAAGTCACTCATCGAGTTTCGAAAGGTGGTCCATCCCAACAAACGGATAAAATTGCGTCAGCAGTAAAGCGAAACTTAATTAGCTCCTTTCGTTCTACTGGTATTTATCCGTTTTGCCCGGGTGAAGTTTATAAGAAATTGCCAACAGATGACGCTCCACAAGATCCGACGGACGCCGTTGAAAATGCATTAACTGCACTTCTAAAGGAGCAAAGATTTGGAGGACCAGAGAGACCAAAAACAAGAAAAAAGAAACTAGATGTAGCTCCCGGAGCTAGTGTGTCAACAGCAATAATTGAGCAGCAATCAGAAGATAGTTCAGATAAAGAAAGCCACATATCACAGTCAGATGAATCCGAGTTCGAAAATGAATCAGACTTGTTAGAAAATGAAGAAAACTACGAAGTGCAATCTGAAGTAGATAAGGTTCAAGCAGGTAGATATATTTTAGCAAAATTCTTATCTCAGAGATGAAAAAAACTTATATCTATGTCTGTAAAATTTTGGAGGTAGAGCCGGAAGTAATAGTCATAGTCTATAAATCCATAAAACCCAGCAAGACAGAATTTAAGATGATTGATGCCGACATATCCCAAATTAGTATGGAGGATATAGAATTTTTACCAAATCCCGCATCTATAGAGTGTTTAGATGGAAGCACCAAATGCATTTTTAAAAAATACTTTAAAGTAGTTGAAGTTTAGTTTAATTTGAAACAAGTTAACATACCTTATTTTTCTGTAAAATTCGTAGTTTTTAAGTTGTTGAAGTGCAGTTTCATTTAAAGTAATAAAATAGTCATAATAGTAAAATTCTACACAAACTTAATATTTATTTACTTGAAAATAATGCTGTGTTTTGTACGAGTTTTTACAGAATACGAAATATAGTGTTGTGGTAAAATGGTTCAAGTGCACCTAAACCTGTGTTTACCATCAATGCGAACTGCAATTGTTTTTATTAAATTAAATGTAATGGTGATAGATGGAACTGTAGGGACGAAATATGGTTGAATCGTTTTATCACCAAGTTATAATATCATATAAGTATGAGAATCTGTACTTCAAGTATATTTTTAGAAAAGTACACCTACACCCTTTTAATTCTGACCCGTTCAATTATCATTTTACATTCTCAGTAAATATATTATTAATTTGCTGTGCAGAACTTATAGTCAGCGTGTTTATCCGGTCCGCTTCAAAAACCATAATTTGACGAGCAATGTTTTGTCGGTAAAAAATACAGATGTCAATGATCTGAATGCAATCATTATGAATTTTCTTACAGAAAAGTTGTTTTCATTCAAATCAATTGACACTACACAGTCAGCTATTCGCTGTGAGTTTCGCCGGTAGCGCTCTCTCGCGGTTTGAAACTTGTACTTTTCTTGTAAAATCGGTGTAAGTGAAACATGACAAAACGGGAAAAATAGATATTTATCTAAAAATACAAAATTATGAACTGAAATATTATTGTAAACTGATTACTGAACGAATACACAGAATTAATAGTAAAAGTAATTACGCCTTTTTATTTTATTCATTATAATTAGGTATACTATTTAAGATATAAGTTCCTGCGACTGGATGACTACTTACGCAAGAGGCCATTGAGAAAAAGAAGATGTTTATGTGAAAATATTTAATGATTAAAGCACAGAATACTAATCACAAGTTGTGATTAGTGTTCTGTGATTAAAGGATACCTTTACCCAATGACATATAATATACATATTTACAGAGGTAAAGGCTTAGAGTAGGGAATTTTGTGTAAAATTCCCTACTCTAAGCCTTTACCTTTCTGTAAAGTTGTAATTATTGTTTTCATTTTACATTTTCATTCTGTTTTTGCTCAGTTATTTTTTGTGTGCGTAGGCCTTAGTGCTTAGATATCAATTTGTTTTAATTTTATCAAAATGGATATTGAACATTATACTGGTTTTAAGTCTATATCACATGATATCCCATTTCAACCAGCTACACCAAAAAAGGGGAAAGATTTAGTTGATGCAGGGCATGTATGCAATGTTTCGGAATATAATAGATTTTTCATTTTACACCATAGAAATATCATGTTTGTATTATAGGTTATTTACTTATTTTTCTTATTGATAGCAATAATCTATTTTTCTCTTTGAACTATTTTCTGCTTGGCAACAGGAAATGAATAAAATTTACAATCATTGTTATACCCAGTATTTTTACATATATCATTTCTTTTTCTTTTTGAAAAATCCATATTCGCCATTATTTGAATGTTTACAAGTTAAATGCACAAAACTGCCACTAACAGCGTTGGTGATATCTGTCAAATCTCCTCTACTCATCGGCTCACAGCAAATAGGAAGGAGAAATACAAAGGAGATAATGGCTTGATCCCGCCAAACGTACCATTTGATTTTAAAATTTTCCGTGCGCTTGACTTTTGCAATGACAATAAACAAAGCACAACGTCAACCGTTGGAAGTTTGCAGAATAAACTCAAGTTTTTATGTTTCGTGCATTAATAATTATTTGCCTGTCTAAAAACCATCATTGTAGTATATGAAACGCAAAAAAATTAAAATATGGTTTATCAGAAAGCATTAAATTGGTTACATATTATTGAGTATTTTGTTTTGTTTTTCTGGTAATTTTATGGACATATTATTTAATTCTAAGGTGGTACGAAGTTTGCAGGGTCAGCTAGTATAGAAATAACTTACTGAATTACTTATTATATAAGTCAAAAAAATAATAGTTATGTTTTTTTTTTATGTTGATATTCTTCTTCTTCGGGTTCCTTCTCCTAGCGGAGGTTGGAAATCATCATCGCTATTTTAACTTTGTTGGCCGCATTTCTGAACAATTCTAATGAGCTGCAGCCGAACCACTCTCTCAAATTTCTCAGCCAGGACATTTTGCGTCGTCCTGGGTTTCTCTTCCCTTGTATCTTCCCTTGCATAATCAACCTCAATAATATGTACTTCTCACCACTCATTAAATGTCCCAGATATTGAATCTTTCTAATTTTAACAGTTTTTATGACTTCACATTCTTTCTTCATTCTTTGTAACACCTCTATATTAGTTACTTTTTCAATCCACGATATTTTATGCATTCTCCTGTAGCACCACATCTCAAAGGAGTTTAATTTTTTGATTTCAGACTGCTTTATTGTCCACGCTTCCATGCCATATAGTAAAGTAGAGAAGACGTAACAACGTAGCATTCTTGTGCGAATCTCTAGATTAAGGTTACGGTTGCAAAGTAATTTCTTCAATTTTATGAACGTGTTTCTTGCCATTTCTATTCTAGATCTGATCTCCTTTACTTGATCTCCATCTTCGGTTAGCCACGTTCCTAAATATTTATATGTTTTTACACTTTCTATCGCTGTATTATTGATGATCAGGTTATTTACATTTTGTGTTTTTTTTTTGAGAATATCATTGATT